TATTGTGGGTAATAAACAGTATTGTGGGTAATAAACAGTATTGTGGGTAATAAACAGTATTGTGGGTAATAAACAGTATTGTGGGTAATAATGTGGCCCCACAATGCGTTGCACTCATACAGCTTGGTGGACAAAAGCGTGGACATTTACTAAACTTGCCATTTACTAAACTTGCCACATTTTTTACCTTCCTCGGCAGCCAATTGAACCAGCAACCTCCATTTTTTACCTTCCTCGGCAGCCAATTGAACCAACAACCTCCCGATAAACCATGGCAGCATCCCATTATAATCACGTGTCATCATAAAACGTAACATGGTTAAACGTATGACAGTATAGGGCTCGATTTGTTCCGATGTTCATAAACAAAGGCTCAAACTGAGTTTTTATAGATCGAGAGGAGGAATTTACAGATGTCACAATTGAATAAGTAAGCCCTGCCCATCACAAAATTTAAAAAGGGAGAGTTTCTGGACAAGATGGAATATCTGAACATCATCAAAGGGGCAGTAGCCTGGCCTCGTGGTAGCGCTTTGCTGCTCGTCACAGAGGTTTACGGTTCAATTACAGCGGCGGCACTGCTTATTACCGCGGGGTGTATTCACCGTAAACATATACCCACTGTTTCAGTGGACGGAACAAACCCCGTGATATAATTTGCAAGAGCAGGCGGTTGTGTTCTGGCGTCCAAATTTGCCAAATTACCCTCGTCTTACTCAGATGGGAATGTAAGTTCCAATCATATTCTATGGTTCTTTCGGTAAAGTCACGTGGATAGAAACATAATAACAATAAAATAATAAAAAATAAAGTGAATACATTTTTTTATAAAATATCACGACGTTTCGATCGCGACACAAGCGGTCGTCATCGGGAACTCAAGTCAAAATTTAGTTCCAATCATCTGCAGGACCTTGCAGGAAAGAAATAGTCATGAGACTCGGTAAAGCTTTCCTAGGTAAACAAGTGTCATGATAATCATCATCATAAGTGGGACCAACTGTTGGTAGAAATTTAGCAGACAAACTTAAATGGAAAGATGAAATGATGAGTTAATAATTTTGTTAAGAAAGGCTGACTTAAATTACAGACCCATTTTGATAAATTTCTCACAAAGATCACTGGGTACAGGATAACAGTCTAACCAACCTCTCGATTAATCACATACAAACTATCGGATTCTGTAAAAGGCTAATTAATGCTAAACACAATTATGCCTAGCCTTTGCAGACTATGAAAATGTATATGACGCATTATAAACGGATAGCCACACATTTTCAAACAAGCCAAAGCCTGGATACAAAAAACATGTCGAAAAAAAGCATTATAGTAATGGCACATCTACACTGAGATCACATGAATGAAGTAACAAATTGCAAAGCAGAAGGGGAGTCATACGAGGAGGTACGCCGTTGCCAGAGTTATTCACGGTAACATTTACACATGCTGTTCAATAATGTTGGAGAAATAAAGGCATAAGCATCTGATAGAAAATATTAATCATCTCAGATTTGCTGATTACATTTATTGCAGGTGGACTAGGATGAAAATGATCATAAATAGGCAGGCAAGAGCAATTTGTACTTAAGTTGAAAAACTGAACCTTCTATTAAAAAGCAATATACCAAGCAATGCGTCTAATGAATACAGTTTTTAATCGGTATATGTTTCCTGCTGTGACATGGATCGCAAGCGTGCACACTAACAAACAAACTGGAACATGACGTGAAAAGTACGCAATGAAGCATAAAGAGGCGCGTGCTTGGAATTACACTGAGCGACGGAAAGAGAAACGCGTAGACCAGGGATCAATGCAAGTTAGAGACGTTCACGTTGACTGTGAGGAAGAGTAAGCGGGCTTGGGCAGTGCTCATCGCTTGAAGGAACGATGGCCGATGGTCGAGACTAACGGCGGAGCGACAGCCAAAGGTGGGAACGCACCGGAGAAGGCTTCCACCGTGGAGATGGGGCGATGAGATCAGCTCGTGTGCCGGAGCCTCTATGGATTCCTGCATTGAAAACTGATGGGAGGCAAAGGCTTGGGGAGGTCTTCATGCAGCAGTGGATTGGTCATGGCCAGAGGTCGGCAAGCTGCCTCCTTAAGGACTGCTGCTTCGTGACGTTATTTATTGGGGAACGCTGTCTCGCATTCACGTGCGTTGCTGCTCTTGAAATGTTTCGTTTTTTTTACTGAATTCGAAAAAATGCCTCTTCTTGTTATTTTGCTTTGCCAACCCCTGGTCATGGCTAAGCATGATAATATTTTTATATCGGACTCTTTTTTTGCCAATATGAAATTGATGAAAAAAAGAATCATGTACAAAATATGTTTCTATTTGGTGTTTGAACATCTTAACACCTGTATTATTGCTGTAAAGGTTAAAGTATATTATTTCGTCATCGTGATGATTAGTCTTGATTAATTATAATTGCTTCCAAGCTCTTTGTACTGTATTTTTTAAAAGTCATCTGATAATTCTAATGCCAAATCCGTTACCATTGTACAAATTTTTTTTCACTTTGTTCTTTATTCCAGAATTAAATGGAACTTTAGAATCTCAATAAATTGGACAATGAAATCCATAGCTTTAGGCAATATCAATGGTTCATAAAGGAGAATGACAATTTAATGTAACTCAAAACAAGCATCTACAATATGCGAATACTAAAACACTCTGTTAAAACAACACTCCTTTAATTCATCATTGCTGTATATAAAAAAAGCATAAATGAAAATATGGTTTGCTAAAAAGCATTTTACCCAGTACTCGTGCATTGTTGGGCCAACGTTATTATGTGGTTCAAACCTTTGGCCCAACGTTCCATGTCTACTTGGTATGTGTCGGAGGAATCATCCTCCTTCAACTGTTTTAGCATCACACCTTAATTTACACCACAGATGATTGTTCGGAAGCTTCAATTTCGGTTTCCAACGGGCTCCACGTGCGATCTGAAAAACAAAACAAATGTTATCAGTCCACTAGTTTTTTTCTTTTTAAAACGTATTTTCAACGTTTATAACTATTATAATGGACATTGCATTTTTGGCTATAAGCTGTCGATCGATTTGGGGTGTGGAATGTTTAAAGTGTGTGCACACAGATGCGTATTGACGTCACTTTGCAGTGCACTGCAACGTATCTTTACAACAAGTTAGAAATGTTCACCCAGAAGACTGCCAAGGTCATTGCCGTGTGTCCTACAGTATTTTAAATTGTTCTTTATTAATGACGTTCAGTTGTCTTGTGCTTTCACACTAATCATCGATCCAATCTAGGGTAACCTATGCAGCGCTGTCTGACTGATTGCTCATGCATAAAAGAACGCATCTGTTTTAGTGCAGGCATTGCTCAGTCCACTGCTGGATGATTTCTTCCCATGCCGTATTATTAATTGGTGGGGTTATTTGACCATATACTTCACCACGCTGGTCAGTGCGGGCTGGTGAAGGGTAGGGTGAAGCAGCCGGGAACGGTTCAGATGTATCACTCACCTCGGACGTTCGCCGTGGCGAGACATTATATCGCTGTAGTGGCTGCCGCAGACACTACACTCCAGGCGTTTTTAAATCCTTTATATTAAGTTCACTTGCTTGTTTGCTTGCGTGCTTACGACCGTGCAAATCTTTCGGTCGTTTTTTAACCCACTCCCCGTGATCCAATCGAGCTGACATTTTGCACACAGACTCGTTGTGCGTGACAATTTATTTTCGTGGAAATTTTTTTCCAAAATTTTCCACTTTTTAGGAATTTTATTTTTCATATTTAATTTAAAATACCAATGTGATAAAAATGAAACTCTTACTCAAGAAAAACAGAAATGAATAATAAAATAAAACCGATGCCACGCATATTAAGGATTTATAGTGAAAACTTTGTTTTTACGGGTTACATTTTTTTTGTTAAAGCCACCACTCAACCTATACTCAATGGAGATTGCCTCTTCTCCACTGGTGCCCCCACTGTCTGGAGCTCTCTGGATGGCCACACAGCTAGCTCCATCTCCCTCCTCACGTCCAGGCTTGAGACGTTACCCCGTATCCTCTGCCTCTGACTAATCCGTCTGTCCAAATTGTCGTATTCAGTAGAGGAGTCCTGCTCCCCAGAACTTTCATTTCCCTTCACTTAATCATTGAATCCCTTGATGTCATGATGCTAGTGTCTTTTTTGTGCAGCGTTTATAGGTGCAGTACCATTCAAACTCTTTATCAGTCAAAATTGTGTGTACGTGTATGTTGAACTTCTTTCGCACTGTACGTAGCCAACCGTGCCAATCGGAGCTGCGATATATACATAGGTATAACAATAGGTTACAAAACGAGTGGCATCAGATGCAATATTAAACGGCGCTTTCAAGTATCCGCCATGGTATGTAGAAATATTCATCGTAGCACGTAACAAACAAACCAACAAAAATGTACGCAAGCAACAGAAGATCAGGTTACCTTTTGCAACGGAGACGCTGCGCCAGGTCCTTCAGAGAAGATCTGGTCAGCGGGCTTCCCAGCAAGAAGATTATCGGCGTGCTCAGTGTGTTTAACATGCGGATGAACACAAGCGGATTTTTTGCATTGTTCTCGACATGAAAACAGGCTTTGACGGTGAAGCAAATGATGATATAAAAGAGGGAGGGTGCCCAGAAAATGAGAAAGGACGTTGACGTGATGATAATGAGCCAGGCGGATCTGTTTTTGTAAGCGTGCTCAGAATTGGTTTCTCTGCTCTGTTGCCGCCTGGTGACGATGTAAAGCCTCAGATTTAGAAAAATCATGACGAAGAGCATGAACATCGAAAAGAAGAGAGTCGAGAAACCGTGATACACATCACCCGATTCGCCTAGCAGTGCACCTTCAACAACCAGCGTTATTATCGGAAATGCCCACGTGACACCGATAATTAAGAGAACCTTTGTCCTCGTCATCACGAGCTTGTATTTGAAAGGAGATTGCACGGCGTAGTAGCGGTCTAAAGTCGCACACATGAGGGTGACCAGAGACACGCCGTGAATGGTAGGAAAGATCTTTGCCGGACTGTAGTACAACCCGATGCTGTCGTTGATATCGTGAAGGCCGTTGTAGAACCAACCGGCGCCGACAATTAGATCGCACACCGTGATGCTTAACGCGTAAAGGAAGTTGTTTCTCCGCAGAATGGGCTTCGAGTTGCAGAACGCAATGAGAAGCAACGAATTTGCCGAGACGATGCTCGTCGCGGAGAGAATGTGAAACGCCATCAGCAAGCCTTCGCTAATTGTGTCCACCTGAGCGATGAGCGACAGGGCCATGTCACCGTCTCTTCTTCTTCTTCTTATTGGCAAGGAAAAGAAAACGACAGACCGCATGCAACCGGCACACTGTTCCCCGAATGGCTTCCCTCACAAGATGAACAAATTGTCAGGATTTATAGATTTTGGGGAAAATTCCCTAGATGCGCGACACAGGTTTTGCTTGCGGGAATTGAGCCAAATATGGACTGTGTGGCCTTATATGTGTGCCGTGAGGGCTGCACTCTATTACTGTCGTGCCCGTTCATTGCGGTTTTCAGCATTTTACATTACATTGCAAAGATTAAACAGTCAAATTGGCTTGTTCTAAATGCAATTTAAATGTAGCTGGGAGGGAAGGGCTTGCTTGATGGTGCAGCATTGCGAGCTGTCAATGAAGACGCCAGTATTATTGCGTGCGCATTGCTAAGTCGGCGTGATTACGTCTTAATGACGACGGTTCCCGTGAAACAGAACAAAGCTCGTTAGTGTTTCTCGTGTGTATTTAATAATGGACAAGAATATACGAGGTTCACAATTCATGTTATATATCCCGCAGATTAAAGAGCCACACCCCATATGAATACAGCAGGAGACGTGGGGGGGGGGTTTACTTTGTTCTAAAGCAACGCGATAGATTGGATCTAGATCTTGTAAATGAAAACGAACTCTTCAGATTTCACAACTCGTGCAGCTCGTATGCGACAAAGGACTTGCCAGCAACATATCCCTTCCGTGTGAACGACGTTACATGTTTTTGTTTTTATAAAAGAGCGATTAAAAAAAATGCATGGTCTTCAAATGGAAATAATTGCTCATTTAAACTGCCAAATTATTCGAGGTGCACAGAGCAGTGTTTTACAATTTACAAATTACCAGCCAACAGGGCACAGCCCCACTTAATGAAGTTGGGCAGGAAATGTCGTGAGATGGGATGATGTCCAGCGGTAGAGACGAAATGACAGTGGCAGCCAAAGGAGGGAGGACGCCCTTGAAGTACGTACTCCGTGGAGATGGAGCAATGAGGGCGGCTCCTGTGCAAGGGCTGGAAGGAATCTCGCATCGCGGGACGCGTGAGGCGGTGGCGACCGTTTGTGGAGGCCTTCATCCAGCAGTTGCTAGACCGTGGCCGATAATGAGAATTACCTGAAGCGTAATAGTTATACGTTATAATGATGTGCCCTTTTTCTTCTTGGTTCTTTCGGTAAAGTCACGTAGAATGGAAATAATAAAATAATAAAAACAAAACATAATAAAATAATTCTCACGACGTTTCGGCCACAACGCAAGCAGCCGTCCTCAGGTGAAGACCAGGTCTGTCGGGGAGACAGCGTTTAAATGAAACAGCACCATGCTTGGAGCGTATATTTATTTTATTTTATTATTTCCATTCTACGTGACTTTACCGAAATAACCAAGAAGATGAATCCCTGCAGTAACGAAAGCTTTAAATCGAAATGTGCCCTTTGTCTGCACGTATATATGTATGAGCGACTTTTATTTATTTAGTGCTATGCAAAAGAGTCACGTACAAATATCAAGCAATATATAGAAATGTGTGCTCCGTAAATCATGTCATAATCATCATGTGGTGTGGGAACACGGGAGCACAATCGCAGAGCCACGTCCCCGTTATATTTATGAGTTCATCTGCAGGCGGGCAGAAGCTGCTCCAACTTGACAATCACCGGGTTGGACTTGGGATCTAAAGAAAAACAATCACAATGTCATCACGTTGATCTTGAACTTCTTTTTAAACGTCGGCCTTGATTTTGTACGTTATATTCATGTCGGTGTGCGACGGGTTTTTTTTTTATAAGATGCAAAAGGACATCTACTTGTTTTTCCAAGCCCAGACAAAAGGTGTGAGTTAACATTTGCATTTGTATGTTCATTTGGAACTACACTCAGATATAAACTGTTATATGTTTAACCATTGAACCATAAAATAACCCCATTTGGATGTATCATCTCGCATTCACGCGTCTCCTGGTGTCTTCAACTAAAAGCGACAGCCGATATAAAAGATGACGTTTACAGCTTATGCAAATTATTTGGTGGTGCTACTGCTGCATTAGCAGCGGTGCACATGCACAGTTAACGAAAACACTCAACACACTCGTTCATAACAATGTGGCTTTAAAATAAAAAATATATAATCGGCGACGATTCGGGTAATGGCCCTTCATGGCTGATTTTATACGTATATTTTTCTTTCTATACTCTCTGGTTCTTTCGGTAAAGTCACGTAGATAGAAAAATAACAAAAGAAAAGACGACGTTTCGGTCGCAACAAAAGCGGCCGTCTTCAGGTGAGAAGGCTGTGTTGTTGATAAGAGAGTTGAGTTGTTTTTCATCTTATGTTGTTAGTTTAAAGGTTATTTGTATAAATTGTTTAGCATGTAATGATATACCCAACCGTCTGGATGAATTGTTTCCCATTTGGCTTCGCTATTCTACACGAGACCATTTTTTGGGTCTTTTCACCATCTTTTTTAAAATATTATTTTACTTTGCTCTACGTTCGTTTTGGTAAAAATTTGCTCCATAGGTCTCTCCATTGTTTCGTTAGTCACTATCTGCACAAATCAGAAATTATTGATTCACACGCGCATGATTTGATGCGTGCATTGTGTACAGTGAGAACGCATTATTATCGATGAGTTGATGCAATGCCACATGCCTAATGATCATCATAAGAAAAACAAACTTGCAGAACTGGAGACGTATTATTTAAACAATTATATACATTGATGCGATACAGTGTGGCGACATGTTTAAACAAAACACAAAATACCTCTCGTATTTACCTTTTGCGACGTAGGCGAATTGCTAGACCGTTGAGAGACGCTCTCGTCAGAGGACTTCCGGCCAAGAAGATGATCGGAGTGCTGAGTGTGTTCATCACTCTGATGTTCGACAAGATGATAAGTGTTCTTTGGGGAAACGTTGGCAGACGTTAGCCGTGGAGCAGATAGCTGTATATATCATCGAAGGTGCCCACAAGGTGATGAAGATAGCAGCGGCCAATACAATGAGCAAAGTGGAATTGTTTTTGGAGCTCCTGGCATTGTACCCGTCCCTTTCTTGCTGCTTTTTAACGATGACGTAAATTCTCACATTTAAGGTCACAATTGACCCAATCATCAAAATTGAAAAGGCTGTGGTGGAGTAACCTCGGGAAGCCACGCTGTAGTTTGTCGGCGCTAGCGACTGCAGGCTGAGGAACGTGAGGGGAATGAGCCAAACGAAGGCAATGATCACCACAACTTTGGTCCTCGTCATTACCCGCACGTATCTAAACGGGTGCTGCACTGCGTAATACCTGTCAATCACAGCGCCCAGAAAGGTGATCATGGAAATGCTGTGAATTGACAAGAAGACCTCCTCCGGGCTTCTGTAAGATATGTTGCCATCGTCCGCGTTACGGTGCAGCCCGTTGTAGAGCCAGCCGGCGCCCACAAGCAAATCGCTGAGCGAGATGCTCAACGTATAAAGGTAGTTGTTTTTTCTCAGAAGGGTGCTGGAATTCAGCAACGCTACAATCAGCAAGAGGTTTGTCAGGACAATGCTCGTTGCATAGACAGTGTTGAGCGTCACGAGCGCCACGTTGTCGAGTGTGTAGGACATGTCGTGCGAGAAGAGTGAGTGCGTGCGCGTGCGTGGCGGTGTCTTTACGAGGCAGGGAGACTTAAGTGAGCTGTAGGCTTCCAGCCGGACCGTATGCGGATTGCTCGCGTCACAAGAGGAACAGTTAGAATATATAGGTTTCGAAATTCCCTGCAGGCCTTTCAGAGGCTTGCCTTGTGGGAATTGCATTTGAGACAAACGTGGGTTGTGTGTGTGTGTATATTGTGGGGAGCGGTGGCACAATGGTTAGCGCGCTGCGCTATGAACACGGCGATCCGAGTTCGATTCCTGCTCACGGCCGGCACCGGTGAGGATAATCTGAACCGGTCCTGAGCCTCCCCGAGTTCGACTCAGCCTCAAATGAGTATCCCGGTGCGGTGTGCGGATATCACCACGAGGAAGACAAAGGCGGCCACTCACGCCCTCATGTGTCGTGCCGGCTATCATAGGTGCTCGCTAACAGTTGTGTAAGGTAACCCTGATTCACAGCGGTGACATTGAAAGCTCCAGGTGCAGTCTTTGTGGTGGGGTAACGGTGGCGCAGTTGTAAACAACACTCCACCAAGAACCAACAACCTCAGTTTGGTTCCCAATTATGGCAGACATCAGTGGAGAGGGATTTATTGACTGGTCATAGGCCTCCGTTCACCAGCCCGCAAGACCAGTGTGGTGAAGTATGGTCAAACAACCCCCATGACCGACATGGTCTGAGAAGGCCTTGATTCAGCAGTGGATTGACAAAGGCCTGTACATTATTGCTTTCATGATTATTGCTTACATACACAGCAGATCATATGTCAAAAGTTTTGTCCATGTTCATGGCCCTTAATATTTCTTTGGTATTGTGTGGCGATACTTAATCACACGGTAATCACCTACTGGGACAATTGTCCACAAGCTATTATTGCATGCAACAGCTGCTTTTTGTTTGTTTTAATTTTGTTCTTGAAATTATGGACATGAACCCATCTGATAGGCCGTCCTTCGAGGAGATGAGGCGATTAATCAGCTCGCGTGGAGTGTGCTTTGTGGATTGTGTCATCATGAGATCACGATGAGATGGTGACACCTTGGAAAGGCCTTCAATCCCGCCGTTGATTGTTCAAGGCTGATTTTCTATGGCAGTGACTGTAAGAGGGTCTGTGTGTTGCAACTGTTTTATGTGAATCGACATGGAAGCATTATTTAAATCGCGTGGATTTTTTTTCCCGGGTGCTCTGGTTCTTCCTTCCACTTTTAGAAACATGCATCTGAAAAAGAGCTATACAGCTCGGTGGGCCTGACCTGGTAAAATACAAAGCTTAGTTTAGGTCAGTAAATTTGTATTCTTTTTTTACGTGTGTGAGTGTTCACGTCAAAACGTTCAACTTTAGACTTCTAAAATCACTTTGTGAGATATTTAAAATCCTGTCACAGGTAGTGTACCATATTAAGTGCAATTATTTCACGTGCCAAAATGTTACCGCTCTTGCCACGTGATAACCATGAATTCATGATGCCTCTGAGTAAAAAGCACCCAGAATGAGCCCCCCCCATCTGGTCAATTCTCAGAAGCCAAGCAGAGTCGATCCTGCATAGTGATTGGATGGGCAGGCACCACGCACAGATAGTTGTGTTATATAGTTCTCACCTCTACGTAATAATAGGCTCAGTCAACCATTCTACACAACAAAGGCCATTCCTAACAGCGTACTTCAGCCGCACCGAACCTCACAAAAAATACTGTTCAGGGCCTACCTTGGCCCCTCCCACTCTCAACCAGTATATATACAAATACTGTGTTCTTGGAATTTCTCTCACTTGATACAGCTATCGTGCAGTGACGGTTCCACCTGAAGACGGAAGCTTGTGTTGCCTCCGAAACGTCGTGATTTTTATTTTATTTTTATTTTACTTTTATTAATTTTATTTTTTTACCTACGTGACTTTACCGAAAAAACCTAAGAATATGAATCCTTGCAGTCACGAAAGCTTCAAATCTAGAATTAATGTTATATAGTTGTTGTGTTCTGCGGGTTTAGCTGGTGGCGAGCAGAGGGCAATTCAACACAGTGTATTGTTTTACTCTACTATACTGTACTTCTATGCTCCTACATATATGCGGTCTCCCTTCACCAGTCTACACAGTGTGACCAGCGTGGTGAAGTATGTGATCAAGTAACCCACCCACGACCCAAGTCAACCTTGCTGGATTGGAAGGTGTTAATCTGGCAGTGGATTGACAACCGGCTGGAACAACAACAACCGCCATTCGCCATTTTGTGGCGGTAACGTCACCACTGCGGCTGTGCCACGCGAGGTTGTACACATAATAAACGCCACACGTGCAACAAAGTATTATCGAAAGTCCCATTGTCACAACTCCCGCTGTTTGAGCATGAATCCCACACTTTATTTGAAGTACAATAACGCACGTGACATCTTCACAAAGTAGATAACACAACACTTCAATAACAAAAATCAAGTCCAGTCAGCCTTAAGTGCCTGTTGTCAATGGGTCTAAAGACGTATAAGTACTGTCGAACATTCAATGGTGTCGCCATGATAAATCGTAACAATAAATGTTTCATGAAAACCCCCTTTGCGAGGCCATTACTGGATGATGGTCCTCCCAATGGAGGTTGTTTGACCATACTTCATCATGCAGGTCAGTGGGGGGGGGGGTGAACAGGGAGACCCATGAACATATCAGTAGTGATGTTGTATTCTTTATTTTACCACGAGTGAAATCACGACCAATTCAAGTGTACAAATATAGGCCACGTTTAACAAATGAATACAGTCCAATGCGCATAAGCCGAAGTAAACAAAACGGGTAAATGGCACCAACATTTATAAATATAGAAAACTGTAATAGAGTAGGGCCAGGAATGGAACTCATGTTCTGGGTTCATAGTGCAGTGATCTAACTCCTGCTTAGCAGTATTAAATTAGCAGTTATTGATTATATAAAGTACCCCGTGATGCACAATTTTATTTTCGGATGATACATAATTCCCACATAGAATGTACACATTTGCTCAATGTTCATCATCAAGAAACCAATCTTAAAAGTGACTGTTAGTGAGCACTAATATAAAAGCACATGTTTAAGGTACAGTGTTTAAGATGCTTCATAATTCGTTTGTTTTGGGTTCGACCGTAATTTTCAGCTGTGCCTTCTGCCACCTGACACAGCCAATGAAATAAAGTTGACACGTGGACAAATATGCCAATTGATTTCGGGTTTTCAGCAAACCGATGGAATTGTTAGAAAGCAAGCATGTTTTTTCAAATATATAGACGACAAAATAATAATCATAATAATAGTCGTGAAGGTCTACGTGTCTACATTAACAGCTACAAAGCACTCTCTTTAGAGTGCTTGACTAATTAAAAAAATGTTCAAATCCCAGTCGAGCCAATGCCTCACTGGGAGGTGAGGGCCATACAATTAGTAGCACTTTGTGTGCAAAGTCGAAAGTGGTAATATTTTATAGAGTTTGTCCCCACCATAGCAATGTGAATTTACACCACTCCTGGCCCAGTCTCCAATGTAAGCGCCTCCTTGTTGCTCGTTTGACGGAATAGTTACTGTGAATGTAAAGTCACATAGATAGAAAATAAAATAATAATAAAAACCACGACGTTTCAATCGCTTGTATTTATAATTTATTTAAACTTTTATTTGCTATCAATGTGACTTTACCGAAAGAACCAAGAATATGAATTCCTGCAGTCACGAAAGTTGTACGTCCTTTTACATATGTTTAGTGGATACTTTCAAATGTAGGCTGGTATACTGTTATCATTGAAGCCAATATGCATGCTTGTTTATTTTTCATGATTGTAGGCATCCAATTGTGCTATCCTGTAATTCTTTATTCTACGGTATACTGCACCTCCATGAATTCATCTGCTATTTACGCTTTATTAGCGAATTGAAGTGAACTAATGCCATCTGCTGACAAGACGCAGTATTGAAATCTTTAACCTGTCCTGCGAGCATGTTGTTTACTTATGTACAATATAAATTAATATGAACTCATAGAATTCCAATGCGTATTAATGGTACAGATTTTTACTTTTCGATTCTTGCAACTGTATTTATTTACAGGCTCTAGTCTGGGGAAACATAATAGCCACACGTCAATAAGTACATAAGTTTTACATTGAGACAAAGAGGAATTATCCTATCATCCATAGTGCCAACTACAGCTGTGCAATTGCATCATGGGAAACGGTTACGCGCTGTGTCTCATGCAGTGCTTTTACATTACTCATGAAAGTTGAACGTATGTAGTTTATGTATTTTACGGATTTATGTTTATACTTTCCACTCCGATCGTGTTTGTGTGTTGTTTGTTGTTGTACTTTGTGACCCGCTCCTACTGGACGCCTCTGAAAACAACTTCGTAGCTCGTCGGATTTCTTCCAGGATAAATAAAGATTCTGTTTGATTTTCTTTTCATATTTTCCCGAATTTCATCCCTTTCGTGCAAAATCAGCATCACCTTCCGAGACTCGTGTCTCCCTTTCGGATGTCTCTCGTTGAGCAGCAGAACCCTTCGTGTTGGAGAAAGGCCGACGGAGCCACATCTCAGATCCCGTCAAGTGACTGTGGTCCACATAGGCCTCGGCAAGGTAAGATAATTTACCCTTTTTACCGGGTAAAAGGGTAAAGATGTCCACATGCCAAGGGGTAAGGTAAAGGGTACAGGGTAAAAGTAGCTCGGAAGAATTACCCGGTAGGGTAAAGTTAGCGCAAAGTATTACCCGGTAAATACAGTACCTAGTTTACCACTAAAAACTCCGTGGCGCAGTCCGTGGCCTACATTTAATAAGTAATATTAAAACAAACTTGATTAAAAACACGCTTTTATGAAATGCACGAGTAATGACAGAACTCCAGGAAGTGGCCCCGAAGTTTGCCACAACGTAAGTGGTGATTTACAGCCAACGTGAGTTGAGCGTGGACATAACAAATAAAAATTATTGTTTAAAAATATAAAGATTTTTTT